CTTCGTCAGCCGTCGTTGTGCTGCCACGCCCCCGGCTGGCAGAGGGCAATGAGCAGGTTCTGATCGCCGGACTTTTCGCAGTCTGTCTCAGTCCCCCGACAGCGTGCGCGGCCCTTGGTAACCCAGTCGACGACCGAGCCGGTATAAATTTCGATGGTGTCAATACCATGAGTGGCAGGAGGCTGAATTTTACGGAGACTTGCCACGGTCTCCAACCCTCCTCGTTTCTCATCCGGGCTTTGGACCGGCAACGGCGGAGTTTTTCTTTGCTTGTTAAGTACTTTATTTCGAAACCACATATTTGTGTCATTTCAGTTATACTCTATTAATGCAGCTGCATCAGTGTCATTATCTGCCATTTTGGTTGCACTGCGCGGTACATTCAATAATAAATAATGAAATGAAGATTTCCGCTCAACTTCTCACTCAATTTTGCTGTGATGTTCAGCGTTAACTAATGTCTAAGATTCTCCTTTTATCAACCAGCTATCTTGTTTACCTTGAGAATGGGGTGATGTTCTCGTTTTGAGTAGTATGGAATGCTTGTTACGCCTTGCGGATCCAGCACAGCTACAGAAGCTGATCTGTTCGTTATCGCGCAGAAGCTAAATGCTATGAAAAATCAGTCCGGAAAGAAAGATCTACAAGTGCAACGTAAATGTGAAACGGTGAGAAGTTCGATCAGTTTTAATATTCCGGTTGAGTTTCCTTCGGCAACGTTAACTGCCTATCAGAGTTAAGTGGGAAATGAACAATGAAACCAAGAAATGAGAAGTTTTGTGCAGACGGCGGTTATCGTAATGGACCTCAGTTTCCTCAGAAGATGTGACTGCACGCCTCCGTTGTGAACCTGGCAGGACAGGTTGGGCGGTACTCACCGATCCCGATATCAGTCACCACGTAGACTTGGTTAAAGCATACCTGAACTTTGTTTTTAATACGTGCTTTCCACGGGAGTGAATCTTTCTGTCAAGCAACTATCGATCTTCTGAGGTGCTGAAACATTTGAGACTTCAGGAAGAAGGAATCAAGAAGATACGACAGCGCAGCATTCTTACTCTGGCTATTGTGGCTGAGATTCATCGGCTAAGCGTACCCCGTTTCAGCCCCATTTCTTTGTCTTAGGTTAAATGCGGCCTCGCCAACTTTCAGGAATTGAGTGCTTTCGCCGGATACAGAAATGAACCCTCTTGACTTAAGTAAGTGCTGACGTCCTGAATAAATTTTCAGCCAATTTGAATACATAGCCATTGCTTCGTCATTTTTCTTGGAGATGAAGGATCTCATGAAGCATCTAAACAACATTACCAAGTAAACAGTGTTGGCGACTGGAGACTGTCAGATGTCTTCAGAAATCGATTATCTCCAAGGAATGTGGCCCGTATAAAATCTACAATGCGACATCTCTGCGCCACGGAGCTTGGACCGGTACTCACAGACATTCAACACCTGGCAATATTCAGGACAGCTCCCGGCCACATTTCGGATGCCATGCGTAACGCCGATTCCAAAGAAGATTCGAGTAGCAGACTGCAGGGATTTTCGTCTAATTGCGGTCACCTCCTGTCTTGCGAAACATTTTAAGAGGCTGCTACTCCCATCAATCACTGAAGCGTGGGATTTCCGCCTGTTTCGCCTACGACGTTTTCTTGCAAAAGACATTAGACGCCAAGCTTGGTTTTCTGAGCAGAAAAAGATTTCAGAGTTACAGTTCCTGTCAAAAATGTGGCTTCCGCTATCTTGTGTGCAGCTTAGCCGTAATCGTGTAATATTGAGTGAATCCTACAGACTTCTTAATAATTGCAGCGATGGTGTCAAGAAAATTTCATTCATTATCGCAACATTACTAATGCCAAGCAAATTCGAGCACAGCTGAAAGATATCTGCATGGCAGAATTTGGCAGTTCTATTACTTCCTGTGGGGAACAGTTGGATTTAGTCAGGTATAGCATATTAATAGCCTATGCATTACTATTTTATCGTTTCTAGGAAAGCAATGTGTAGTGGCTTATTTTTGAACAGTGCTAAACTGGAACAAGACAAAAAATACCGCTTAGCAAACAGCAGTATGCACGCGACTATACATCCATCGTCGTGTCTGTTCGGTCATCAGCCGGCATGTGTCATTTACTGTGATCTCGTCTTCACGCGCAGCCTTTACATAAAGTAAGTAGATAAGATTTTGCCAAGCGCAACAATACATTGATTAGTTTCCTTGTATGTGGATGTCCTGTTATGAATACAGCAAAAGTCACTGTTAACTAAACGTAAATCATCTCGAGGTGGTTTAACTGGCCTTTCGAGGTGCAGATTGCGATGTGATCAAGCATAGTTGCTACGCATGTGACATGTTGAAATCTCGATCTAACTTCATGCGAAACTGATGAACTGCGAAGCCTGCCAACACTCCTTTTGTGAATAAGTCACTACCAGTGCAGCGCCTGCATTGTAACCGGCAGTAGCTCCGTCAAGAAAGTCGGGCTTACAGGCAATGAGTCATGGGTTCAAATTTAATCAGGTGACTCACTTTTCGTCCTTCTGAGAGATAAATGTCTCTCACTTCATAGGAATAGAACAGGCTTTTGCACCTTATATTTGTCACATCGATGTAAACAGTTTTCAGATTAAGGCATTCCTATCTAATGACGTGGAAACGGTGATTTCCGTTGTGTCCAAAGCTACGTGAAGGAGTGCCGCAAATGGCGTTTAGCTACTGAAGTGTAATGCAACTCTGCCAATCCAATTCATTATGCTTTCCCGAACCGTGGTGACTCCAGTGCTATTTTCATCGTTCTATTACTTTCAGGAATGTGACAGTGATCGATAGTGAATGGCTAACGGAGGGACTCCAAAGTTAATTTCATCGACAGAGAGTGGTTGTAAGCCCTCTACAGATTTTTGACTCTGTGATTACCAAGATTCTGTGCATATGTTTTGTCAGTAACTGCTAAATACAGTACTAATTAAAACTATTTCTAAATGCAGTCAAATTTTCGCATCAAATCGGGCTGTCTTGAATTATGCCTGACGTTGTACCTGCCTACCGACTCCGGCTGCTGTGACCGAAAAAGTCGAATAGCAAATTATTTATTAAACGCCTTCGAATATTTTGTTCGTCGTTACTTAGCAAAAGTTCATCAGCAACTACATGCTGTATTATATAACAAGAAGCTTATTTTGAATAAATCAAATCAGTGCAGCTTAAACCGTTACAGATCAACGCGGATCGAGACCAATAAAGCCTAATTGAAAAGTTATCCGTTGACTGATTGAAACTCTCGTAGAGCGAAAGTCGTTACATTTCTCTGTTAGAGGAAGTACGCTAAGAAGAGATTTTTACCATGCTTACCAACCCCCTGTAGAACTCTTCGTCAAACAATTTACCTTACAGAAGAATGTACGAATGTCCGCTTCATAACTGCCATGGCGCTTCACCTCTCTCTCTCTCTGTATCTTATCCAATCCTTTGTTCCGCATGATCTGTCATTCGCTACTAATAAGGCATTGGAATCACTGAACTGATAACGAAAACACGGACATTTACGAAAGTAGAACACAATGAAGTTTGGTTGTGCAACACTTTCATGTTGTACATCATCTTTAGAGAAAGCGTATTCGGCGGAGAACAACTGCATCACTCGAAAATATTCTCCGGCTACGCCATGCACCACGGAATCCGTCATGAGGTAGAACAAGCCGCGTCTGAGTTTCTCGGTCAGTGTTTTTCAAGCGATCCGTGAGGTGATGCTACGGAGCATACAGTCTCTTCTCCATGCTTCAGTGGAAATCAATGGGGAACGACATGCGGAGATACTATGATCGACCTCGTAAATGATTGAAATGCCGGTAACGCTCAGACAGTATGTCATTTATACCAGGAAAACTGTACGACCTACATCGCGCAACCTGATTAACTTAACTCTAACAGCGTTTATGATATTATCAACTTGTTGGCACTGGATTGCGCGATCGTCAAGATCTCGACTCCGTGAAACACCGCTGTGCTCAGGTGAATTCTCGTCTTCGGGTGTGTACTAATACACAGCTGTACCTAAATGCTGCGAAACAGGATCACCAAAACGCACTTCGTGTAAAAGCACTGCGCCGCAACACTTCATTCAACATATATCCGCTTTATTATCTGCAGCAAAACAGCAAGCTAAGACAGTTTCAAATGATAAGCATTCACAGGCGCAAAATGCACCAAACAAAGCTGCACTCTTCAGTGCGAACCAACTTTAGCAGGAGAATATGCGTTTACTGCGCGAATTGGCTGTTTGCAGTTCTGAGCAGCCTGGTATTGCAGCTGGTAGGCGGTGGGGTGGATTTTGAACCCATACAATCTATAGAGCGTACAAAATGTCATTATACGTATTAGGGAAATATGACTACATTACGGCGAATAAAAACATCAAAATATCTAAGAAACTGCACAAAAGCTGAAAACAGCATCAATGACGGTGATAATTTGTGACGAACAGGCACGCTTTCAAAGTTTAAAAAAAACTTAAGATGATGCATTACTCGGTTTCACGAAACAGTTCGAAATCAACAGAAACTTGAAGAATCAGAAGTTTTCTAATTCACTGATCGCAACCGAAAGTAGGAACACCTCATTCTACGCAACACGCCAAACAACCACTATATGATGCATCTGCAGGCCAATCACTGTGAGTAAAAAATGCCATACTTAATACCCAATTGCAAATAAGCATGAAGCCTTTCTAGAAAGTGCAAACGAAAAACTTAAAACCGGAGGGACAGTGCCGGTTAATCAAGTAAAAAATATAAATCGATGCTTCAGAATGATAAACGACTCGATATAGCCGTTAGGCAATCAATTTTGTTGAGCGACTTACGTAGCGATTCATCATTTAATATTTCAGTATCGCTTCTAGATCGACCAATGAAAAATATTTCTGCAGCAACAATAACATTGCCATTATCTATGGCAGGATTTAAAAAATTGGATGTAGTATGTTCAACAATAATGTATGAGATGAATGGCCTTATTGTAGAGCTAACCGAGCTTGAAGAGTTCGTAATGACTTCTGGACATAAACAATATCACTGAATTAGAGTTAATCATAGATGCACACTGTTTTCCTCAAACTGCTGATACAGGATTAGCCCTAGACTAATTCCTTAACTAAAAAACAAGAAGTTTTAGAGATGAAATGATGAACCTTCTTTAATCAGTTTGACAATAACAAAGACGATCAATTATGAATTTCTGTTCGAAACTGCATTCGCCAAAAGGAGTCTGGTGCATGCTCGTTTAAATTTTTAACCAGACGTTAGTTTGTAACATCCGGGGCATAACTCATATTACAACATCACATCAGGGGCAGTGAGTTCTGCGATCCTTAAAGTCTGCAATCACTGTGATAGTATGTACCTTTAACGGTTTTCTCGACTATAATGAAGTACGAGGCGAGGCGCTAGGGCGACCATAATGAGTACTAGGCTCTAGGGCGACTCCTTGGCGAATCGGTGCGTCAAGGTTGACTAGAACTGCCAGCAATATATTAATGTTTTTTTGAAGTTACCGCTAATGTTCTAGAGTGAAGCATTTATTTTAATATTCACAGTGCCGATGTAGCGGGTGCTGTTATGTCGTCATAACGCAGAACTGAAACAGTTGAGTGGCTTAAATCTATTGTCTGACAGTTGGAAATTGCATATCAGAATTATTAGGCGCTTTTCTCTATTGTGACAAAGGTCATATTTTTCGTCGCAAGCAAATCGGCTTGAAAGAAATCTTTCTGTTTTGCATCGTCCTCGAAAGCGTCTAGGCCAGCGGACGGTTCGCAAATGAGAAAAGTTTTAAATATTTCACGATTACTGCATTATACTGGTGAGCAGTATTCTATACCTGACAAAACCAAGATATGTATGCGGCCCAATCTGCAAACGTAAATTCAGTGTTGCTAGTTTCTAAATGAAGGATTCTCCAGCTATCCAGACAGCTTAGGTTACGACTCAAATGACAACCAAATACCGCAGCTTCCGTTCCTCTAATAAAGCACACTCATGATGATACAATGAAATGCTACTGCAGATTACCAAGAACTACGTGGAAGAAGGAAGTGGCCATTCATACACGTTGAATTCCTGGCACCACGTTTGAAAACATGTTCTTAATACCTGACGTTTTCTATCGGGTCAAAAACATACTTGCACAGTCGAAAGGATTATCACTAGCATAAAATCTATTCATAAATCATAGCTTCAATTATCCGTCCGTGACTGAATGTTTAACCAGGTAACATTTTGATAGAAAGACGGCATTAACGATGCAACTATTACGAAATAACCACCTTGGAACAAACTGATTTGCCGGAGCCTTCGGCCTCATTTCAGGATGAACCATAAACAGCATATGAGGGAAGCCAGTTCCAAAATAAGCGCCGTCAGTGCGATGATGTTTTGATGACTTTGGCGTGAACAGATCCATACATCTCGGACAATAAAGTTTCACCATTTCTTCACCCGGAACATCAGAAACGCCTGTGCAGAAAAGTAAAAATAAACATAATCCAAAGTACCTTCTTAACATACCCACGGGAAGAAGAGTCTGATTTTCACAGTAGACCCGCGGGCAAAAGCTGAAGTCACCATTCTGCCACTTTTCAATCATCTGTGCGATGCCTCTGTTAGTCAGTATGTATCGCGCATGTATCAATCCATACAGCATTTCTGCTGCCTGTTCGACCAAATCAGACTGGATAGACGGATTGTCATCGAAAAGTTCATCATCTGAATGCAGCATTATGTGTTACCAGAAAGCGATAAATTTACTTACCGGGCTCCAAATCGAGTATGACATCCAGTGCTTGACGGTAATGTGGCACCTGCTCATTTAAACCGGTGAGATTAAACTTGTCCTGGATATAATCTTCATCTACCTAGATAAAACACAGTACAGAACAGAAATTATTTGTTGTCTTACTTCACAGAAAAACTCGTTTCCGCGTAAACCACAAAACCAAGAAATCCACGAAACTTCTTCTGAACTGCTCATGTCTTCACGCCACATTGATCAGAGAATACCTGGAAAACGCTGATTGAGAAAGACAAAGAATATACATAGATTTTCTATAAATGAGTAATAATTTAGTAAAACTCAGCCGTTGCCGGTCCCAAACCGGATGAGAAATGAGGAGGCTCTGAGACCTGGCGAGTTCTCCGCAAAACTTAGTCATCTCCTCTTCATGGTACTGTCCTCACCGAATATTAAATATGGTCGGTCATCGCCCGCGTATTCAAGCGCAGCACAGGCTGTTCGGAGACTGAAGCAGGCGGTGAAAAGAAAGCGAACAGAACCTGCTCACAGAATTCTGGCAAATGGAGTAAAGGCAGCACGACAACAGTTGCTGAACAAAAATAAAACGACGACAAAGATGCCAATCATCTACGGTACCGCCACCCGTTCTGAACGAAGGAAGCAGACAGCGCGATGTCATTAAAGCAGACATTCGAACATATCTTGACTGAGGGAAAAAGCAAGAGCTAGTTGATGAAGACCAAGGTACTAACTCGAAATAGTTAGACAGTCGTCGACAAAGTGCCAAGCCTATGGAATTCTGAACCCCTGCGGATGGATGCTATTCTTATAAGCTACTGACCCTACGACACGCGGTCAAGTCAGTGTTGGTGTGCTGGCAGAACCCAACCTAGTTAATAGAATCACTGAATGGAAGCCTCTCAGCGGAAGAGTGCCACCCGGATTAAATAACAACAGGCCAAAGCTCTGACCGCATTACAGGTCCGTGCACCAAATTTGAAAGGAGAATATGAGTCTTTTCCTGGGGAAGTGGATTCTAATGGGCGATTTTAATGCGCACGTCGGAGTAGACGCTAAAAAGTGGAACGGCGTGATTGAAAAAAAAC